ATCAAGTCATATCATTAGGCTACCATGATGCAAAACCATACAGTAACACATTATTCAAAAGAAACCCATTTTAACCATAATAACTTCTAACATGCTTTAACTATTTCATGATATACATTCTCTCAACAAAATATGCTATTTCACATAAATCTCATATATAGCCTTAAATGGTTCACATCATCAACATATGCCAAAATTTACCTTCACACATACTCATGAAACCATAAAACCAAAACAACATCAAAACTCATCTTTTTCTCTCTCAAGCATATAGTATAATCTCGTCCAAGCACTCACATCTAAAAGACCACCAGACAAGAAAACAGAAGAGAGAGATCTTATAGAGTTATGTTCTATGGCACGATATGAAAATGATAAAGAAGGAAAACTCTATCGTCCTATATTCTCCTGTACCATTTGATGTGTTGCGACTCACCACCAATGATACAAAACTCTATTACATGTGGCAACATGGGACTTTAAAACCTAAAACCACTTTTTAAACCTCATGCTCTGATACCAAGTTTGTTACATCCGGGGAGCACCCGCTAGAAGTAACATGGCCTACTTGACCTCTCGTAGGTCTTATACAAGCCCATAGTTGTCATTCATCGTATTGACATAGTAAATTTAGCGGAAAATTTAATAGTTTTCATAGCACATAATATGCTAGAAATTTTACTTCATATATATATAAAATATGATATTACACACTTAGTCCTTAAGTATCTTTGTTATTGTAGACTCAACAATATTATAGTACATTAGGGACACGACCCTTAAAACATAATACATAAGTAAAATAGTTAAGACTTTACTGTAAACCATAACATAGGAAATCCTTGGACTTAAGGATTCCTTTCCTTGAGCTTGGGAATCACATATCAAGTTCTTTAATCATATAGTCATTCTTTAAGCATCCATAAATTCTTTAAACAAAAAACTAAACAACGCCACTATAAGTGGACCGTACCACACATGTACTGCCATTCAAGGCCAATTAAACTACCAATTCTGTACAAAGTAGTGGACATAGGGCAATCTTTCCAATTCTCCAAGATTTGATCATTATTGATAAAATTACAACAACTCAACATCAATTCGAATAGAAAATAATACCTATAGGTACATTAACACAATCAAAATCACAATCTATCAACATCTCAACAAGATCAAATTACCCACAATATAGGCTAAATTGAGAATTGAGAAGGATCATTGGTTCTTCATGAAATTGGATCAATAATTCATATTTAAAAAAGTAGATAAGCATCAATTAATCATAATCATGATTTTGAATACGTTTTGACAATGAAGTCATGGCTAGATTAAAATATAGGAATTTTAATCATGACATCCCTTTGAAAACCTTTGAAAGAACTCCTTAGATGAAAGGTTAACTAAGGATGAAGGATTAACATAACTCATTATGTAATAAATCTATGAAAATTTGATTAGAATCCATGAAAATCCATCAACAAAGTTGTTCTTGAGCTTCATCTTTATTGGAGGTTGCTAGAGAGTTTGTTTTGAGAGGGAAGAGTGAAATTTGAATAATGAAATGGAATAAGGGTTATGATCTTTTAACTAACTTAAAATACCTAAAATAGCCTATAATAACCTTCCATACTCTTTTTGGGACATGGGTTGAATTTTCCAATTCACCCTTAGCATGGCAACGTGCAGACAAAATTGCAGGCCTAAACCAACGAGGGTAGTTGACGGACCATTGGTGGAATGATGGCCTGTCCTGCACCTCCGTTGTTTTTGTTAGAGAGGGACAGTAGGGGGATTTATATCCCACACCTATGTGTGAATCAACTTCCCCCATCGACGGGGCGTAGGTCAACGAACGGTCCGTTGTTGCTAGCTCGTCGTTTGGACACTGCGAGGGCAGCATTTAGGTCCTCTTCAAGGACCCCTTGGGTGGTCCTTGGTGAGTCGTGCCCGGATGTTTTGAATTTAATTAGGATCATAAACATGTTAAGGAAATCTCATAAATTTGAGCATCAAACAACACTTATAACATACCAAGGAACACTAGAACACACTAGTACATCTCAAGGCTAACTTTCAAACTTCTCGAACGTTTTTGGATGTTTGACCTCCAAATCACTTCAAATCAAGTATACATACTGTAAAACACTTAATTAACATATTATTAACCTTTAAAGGCACATGTGAGTCTGTAGACACTTTAGTTTTTGTAGAGACCTTACACTTTACCACAACCAAAGCAACCACTGGTATCGGCTAGGCATTTCCCAAAGTGATTCTTCCCTCAAGTAGAACAAGTAGGCTTAACCACTTGGGAACCAATAAAATTCTCAAGCTTGACCTCAGCATCACTAGAACCTTCTTGAATTGGATCCCTTTTCTTAAACCTAGGTTGATTTTGCTCATCGGATCTACCCCTTTTCAAATTCCTTGAGATCTTACTAAGTATGGACTCTTCAATGGATTACGCATACACCTAAGTCCAATTAAGTTCATGTCATTATGGACCATGTCCGTAGGACACTGTTCTTTTACAAGGTCGGCAACACCGGTCACAAACCTACTCATCTCATCCCTAGGGTTAAACACCAAGGATGGAGCGTACCTTGACTAAGGTTTTTGAATAAAACATCCATGGATCACCCCCTAGACGTAACCGACGTCCTTGTTTTCGAACCGTACTAAGACTAGCCTCTAAGCTTACATCATTACATTCATAGGTTAAAAATGCTGAAAATTTAAAAGTTTTCTTCTATCTATGATGAGGTTTACATAGACCTATCCCATACACATAATATATTTATATCGAGTATACATAGATCCTTCATATAAGAAGACTACATACTTTGCTATTTTTTATTGCGCGCGCATACACACACACATACACACACACACACACACACACATACACACACATATATATAAGATATAACATAGTCTTAAAATGGATGTCTCATCTCATAACCATCTAAACAAGTGTATAACAGATTGGGCATAGCCCATACATCAATACCATAAAGCCACATATAGGCTATACAATCTTTAGTAATCAATGAAAGGAAATGAACAAAGTGTCTCTTAAACAAAACAACATCCAATGGTAGAAAGTGGCATTGTCCTAGAAGTGGTGAGGACCTACCTAACTAGTAGAATGAGAATTTCAAGTCTTCCATCAAAATTCCTCACAAGTCCTTCAATGATCGGGACTTAAAATGTTGGGGAATAAGGGAGAAATGGTGTTAGAACATCACTTGTACTAAGTATAGGATCACATGCACACACAACATAAAATCATGCTAAAAATTACATTTCATTAAACCATGCTATTTTACTTTCGAAAGCCTTATGCACATTCAAGAACCAATACTACTCAACAATACATATTCATTAAGTCAAGATCATGTACCTCACAAGATCTACAACCTTAAGTCTAATCAAGTCACATGCATATTAACATACATGAGCACATAATCAAGAAACTCTATCATCAAGTTGTAACATCATAACCAAAGCAAGGCCATTACTCATGAACCCTAATTAAGTCGACTAGTGCAATGACTAAGCAACGGCCCATAACCTTACTCAATAATGTAAACCTAGCAAGAACCATAACCAATGTCCAACTTCACATAGCATATCATTAAGAGTACATAACATCATACTTTAGCAAAAGAGACCAAGCACATGTTCATAAGTACAACCAACATGACATAGTGTCATTAACATGTATGATCATCACATACATATCATTTACATTTATAAGCATATAAATACATAAGAACATCCTTCCAAGGCATCCCTCAAGGATAACTAGTGTAAAATATAGGTAAAGTCACATACCCCTACCTAGACTAAGCTATAGCCCTTATGTCATCCTAGTTAGAGTTCATTCCATTACTTCATTTTACCTTTTTTTGAACATCTTTACTTAATCGACATAGATCACATGAACTAATGTGGAATGCGGTGTGATGGAACCTACACTAAAAGAAGGCAGACTACTTTCCAAGGTAGTACCAAAACATGAACACAACAACTATGTGAATCCACTAGGTAGAATTCATTTAAGGGAAACATAGTTTAAAATCTATGAGATGTAGTTGGGACCCTATTTATGCTACAGACATTATAGTCTCCAATCTCATCAATACATTAATGATGCTACCTTCACTAAGTGGCAAGACATAGTGTCTATTCCTTATATAATAATCATCGTAGATCAATAAGAATTACATGAGTATTTTCCTTTCATTACAATTCATACATGTGAGGTTAGCACATTTACATAATCACATCATTATAAGGCACATTGGCAAGTTATCACCATTCTTATAACATTTACATCTTAGACAACAACTCACAAACCACAGTTCAAGACTTTTCAATTCAACATCATATCAACCCTAATCAATCTTAATCACAAGATATACTTCATCATAACTTCATTACTAAATACAAGTAATCATAATTAAAGTAGAGAATTGAGACCACAAGACTTACCCTAATATCCTTCAAAAGACATCATCAAGGTCTTACCATCAACCATACAATTCAACCCAACAATGGGTGTAATATCAACACATAATAGTAACCAACATAATAATAAAGTCAATTGTATCAGAACATAACAACTCATTACTAGTTCATAACCTAGGGTTACAAACTTAGGTAAAATTCATGATTTACTTCACAACCAAGGTAAATTACTCAAGAACTAGCATAATTGGATTACAACATATAAAAATCAACTCATAACTTATCATAATGACAACATGGAATAGTAATTCACACATTAACCAAGACAATTATATCATTACTAGATAATTAAATTCAAAATCATAATCTAGGGTTAAGGGGAAAAGGTGATCTTTCTACAACTAGGTCTATTCATCAAGAAGTACCATAATTGAGTTATAATACATGTTAATATACTCATAATAATCAAAAGATATGATAAATAAAGCAATTCACAAGATCAATTTCATATTTGGAAGAAAACTCACTTGAATTTCATCTTTTTGAAATAAATTTGGAGGAACCCTTTGGAGAGAGAGATCCCAAAGGTGAAACGAATCTCATATGTTACTAATTGATGAAGTTTTAAGGAGAAAAATTGATCCTTTTCATCCCTAAAACCCTCCTTTGCTTGTTATTCTATGGAGTTTCTTTGGGAGAGAGAAAGACACTACAATAAAACATATATATGATGAAATTAATTTAGTGACATTTGCAACAAATGTCGGAAAATAAAGAATTTTACGATATTTAAGAACAAAATGTCATAAAATAATAACATTTTGATGTCAAATGTCATAAAAATAATGACATTTGGTATCAAATATTTTAAACATAATGACATTTGGCTTAAAATGTCACTATGATAATGAAATTTATTGCAAAATATCATTGTTTTGTGACATTTAGCGAAATTATCATATAAATGATGACATTTGCTACAAATGTCGAACATAAATTAAATTTATTACAAAATATCATTTTTGTCAGATTTAGAAAAAATATCTCTTAAATAGTGACATTTAATATAAAGGTCGAATATATTTTGACATTTACTAGAAAATGTCATTGACTTTAGTGCTATTTAGAAAAAATGTTACTAAAATAGTGAAATTTATTGTAAAATGTCATTGATTTTAGTTACATTTAGATAAAAAGCTTTTACAAATGTCGAATACATTATGAATTTATTGCGACATATCATTGATTCGATCGATATATAGAAAATGTCGCTAAAACAATGACATTTTAATACAAGAATCGAATATATTATGTCTTATATAGAAAAATATCATTGATTTTTATGACATATTATGAAAAGTATTGTTAAATCCAATGGAGGACTTATGTGGGTTCATGAACCCCTCAACAAAAAATGGTATATATAGAGTAGATTTTCTGTATTTCAGTTACAAAGAGAAATTGATGGTGCAGTGACAAGGCCCCCTAAAATTAGGTTGTATGTCAATGGGTTTTACTTTAAAAACATGAAAAATACTATGGGTTTAAACAAATAAGAATTCAATGTTCTTCAAAGACTTATTTACACGTTTAAACTTTTATTTTTCGAATCCCCTAAAAGAAAATCTTGAGTCCTCCCATGGTTAAACATATTATTAGTCTCTAATTAAGGATATTTACACCTAAGTTTTAAAATCTAAATATCTTTAAAAAATTCTTTGTCATTATATATTTAATAAAGTTTGACCAAATTTGCCCCCAGATTATATGATTTGAACAAAATTTATTCATGATAAGAATATCTCGTTTTTACCTTCATTATTATTAAAAATGAGTGAAGTTTAATTTTATGAGGAAATGTAACTTGAGTTCATTACAATCACCGTGTTGAAGAAAAAATAACATTTTCTAATTATTCTAGATAGGTTGAAAATCTCGAAAGATCAATATATTCGTCAATTGAACATCACTTTTGTGTAATATAAAACTACACAAATGAATACAATTAGGCAACTCTCATTGGTCAAGGTTCCTATTTAAATGTGGTACTTTTGCTTTTCCTCTTATGTAGTAAAAGATTAAATTTAGTTTTGATAGACTAGAGTAGTTAAATATGTGGACAAGGGATTTTAGGTTTACTTTGATTTTCTTATGATCTTTATCTATTTTTAAAAAAAAGAATACCTACGTATTTTTAACAATCCTTATTAAAGTAATCTTCTTCTTATTCTTTTTTTCATTGATTATTTTATTTTATTTGTTGTTATAATATTTTTATATTAAATTTATCGTTACTTTATCGTCAATTCGAACATTCAAAGTTCAAGCACTACAAATGTTTGTATTAGTTTATGAAGAGTTTGATTTAAAAGATGTGAATGATGATATTAAGAATAATAAATTTTTTTCAAAGATGTGGGTTAGGAAGTTGAGATTCTTCTTAGTAGGAGTAAGGTTAGATATTATTTAAAATTAAAATTTTAAATTAATTATTTAGATATTTTCTTCGGGCTAATTTAGAGATTTCTTGTTTTAAAGGACTTGATATCCTTTTTTTTTTTTTTGAATTGGTAGTCTTTACTTTCTTTTATTGAAAATAAGACATATTATATGGATAAAATTTATTTTAAAAAATCATAATGAAAGGGGAAATTAAAAAAACACTTATTTTTTTAAATATTTATGTGACATTCAAAATTTAATATTGCTATGTAATTAATATAGAATATCACATAATACTCATATGGATTAAAGATACATAAATTAGTAGCAAATAAAGTAACTAATTGAACGGGGGGGGGGGGGGGGGGGGGACTGAAGAAAAGGGATGCATTAAAAAATAATAATTAAGTGCTACCAAGGAGGGTTTCAAACCATCGACCATGCAACTGAAAATGAACTTATTTCCAGTTGATCCATATGTCATATTAGTCTATATGAGGCAAGCATAATAAATATAAACACCAAACATTTTTTTGTATGCCTTAAATGTTGTTCAAGACCCATTTTAGCAAGAAAATGTTCAAAGAATCAAAAATTGATTAATCCCATCTACAATTTTCTCTCCAAAGATTAAGTAAATCGTCCTCCGAATGACAATTTTATATAAGTCAAAAAATAAATTAATATAAAATAACGACTTCATGAGGTCGACATTCTTATTTCAACTAATTACTCTTAATAAAAGCAACATCCAAAGTTCGATTGTTTAAAATGTTCAAATTAAGCATAATTTTGCCAGCATAATACTAAAATTCTGTTTTACACCTAGAGTTAATTGTTCAAAAATGTGTAATAATTTTATATACTTTTATAAATAAAAATTCAGATCAATAACTCATATTTAGAGTACGAAACTACGTGATGTAAATACCGACTACAAGTAGTCATGTTTTTATACCAAATAAAACGGAATTTTCCCTAGAAAAATAAATTACAACAAAAATTGTCATCTTGATGTCAGTATAAAATAAATAAATAGCAATATTTTATTTTTTATCAATTAAATATAAATTAAAAATTGAAAAATATTTGGATTTAATTTTATTTAAATTATCTTCCGGAGGATGATTTTGTGTAAAATTAAAACAAAAAAAATCAATGATACCGATTTTCGAAAGTCCATAAAATTAAACAGTATGTAATTTATTTTTCATTATAATATTTACATAGTGACTTCAAGAAAAATTAATAAATTAATATTTTCAATCAACTTTAAATAAATTGTCCTCTAGATGACAGTGTTATAAAAGTTACAAAATAAAGTAATATAAATTATTGACCTTATGAGGTCAATATTTTTATTTCATCTAGTAACATTTAACAAAAGTGACATTCAAAGGTCGATTTGTTCAAAATGTTCCTATTATCATAATTTTGCTGGAATAATACTAAAATTTTGTTTTACACGTCCAATTAATTGATCAACAGAGTGTAACAATTTTGTACACTTTTACAAATTAAAATGTTAGATCAATAATTTATATTTAGAGTATGAAACTATGTTGAAATGAAAACCGACTAAAGTAGTCGAATTTTATGCAAAATAAAGTTGGAAAACCAAATTCCGACCTCAGTAGGTTGGAATTTTTCCCTGAAAAATGATTACAAATCGATCTCTTGATGTCGACATTAAATAAATAAATAATAAAATTTTATTTATTCTCAATTAAATATAAAAAATGAGAAATATTTATTAATTTTATTTAAATTGTGTTCCGGGGAACATTTTTGTGCAAAATAAAAAAAAACAAAATAAAACAAAATATTGACTTTCGAAAGTTGATAAAATTAAATATTATGAAATTGTGTTAATTTTCATTAAACTATATATATGGTTACTTCCTGAAATATTAATAAATTAATATTTTCAATTAACTTTTAATAAATCATCTTCTGGATGACAATTTTGTATAATTTAAATAAAAATTAATGTAAAATACCGACCTCCCGATGTCAATATTATTTAATCCATATGATTACTTTTTATTTATATTATAATTTAATGTGATTGCATTTTTTTATTAAATCTAATTATTTTTAATAAAAGCGACATCCGGAGGTCGGTTGTTTAAAATATTCTTATTAATCAAATTTTTGCATGGTAACTTTTCCATTTGAAACTACAATTAATTGTTTGCAAATTATTTTTTTTGTATACTTTGATAAATAAAAAGTTAGAATTCATGAAATTAACAAAAAAATTGAATAATCTTTATTTTGTAACAACCTG